TTCCTCCAACTTCCCTTACTCCTCATAAAATGAGCGTTACAGGAGTTGGAGTAAAAAGTCCTCCAGCTTGACAGTATTTCGACATTATGTCAAAATAACTGCTGGCTGAGAAGATAATGCTAGTTATTTTGAAATAATGTTGCTTTGTAGACATAGCCCATGAATGGACTGGCATAGAGATATCCTCCCCCAGAACTCCTTACCATGGGTTTTTCCTGTAGGTAGCAATGATCTGGGCCCACAGCTTTGTGCACCCTAGGAAAGCTACTCGCATGCAGAAGTGCTTACAAGATCAGGCCTCCTAAAATGGTTTCATTCTACCATTCATTAGATTTTTGATGATACATTTGAGGTGATAGAATCTAATCAGAAATATCTCAGAATCCCCTTTCCCAGAAGTTTTAAAGAATATGTTAGTCAAACACCTCTCAGAGATGGTCGAGGGATACTTAATTTTTCCTCAGCATGAGAGGGGATGGACTAGATGATCTCTTGCCGTCCCTTCCAGTCTTATAGTCTATGGAATTTTGAATTGTTATTGCAAAAAAACAAAGCTGGCCAAAAATGAAACCTTATTGTTTTGATCCTCTCTCAAATTAGGTTCTTTAAGTCATTAAAAACAATTTTTAAAATTCAAGTTTTATTATGGGATGAAAACACTTAGAGGCATTTGTAAATCTGAAGTAAATACTGTGCATCTGTATTGTAAGTAAATAAAATAGTCATCTTCTATCGAGATTTTTAAAGTAATACAAATGTCATTATATTTAATTTTGTTGACTAATTTATTACATTATGTTCTATGAAACACTATCACTATTAGCCTTAGTTTTAAAAATAATTAATTATAGGTCTACAATACAAGCTAGGGAGTGTAATTTGTAACTCACACAGACACCTTTGTGCTAGCTCTCATGTGAGTAAGCAGACTAAAAATATCTATGTGGCCACAGAAATATGGGCCTCAGTGGCACAGGCCAGCTGTCTTGGGTACACACTGAATTGAATGCCCCGGGTATGTATCTGAGGCATCTAGCCTGGTCTGCCACTGCTCAGGCTACCAAAGTTATGTTATAATTTATGGGCTGCTACACCTTGGATGACAAGTAGCACTAGTATGTGTATGTGAGCAGGGAATCCCAATACTAGCTCAGAGTATAGACACAGACTAAAAACAAAATGCTCAGGGCAAATATTCATTTAGTTTGAACACTAATCCTGAACTATAGATGTGCAGAAGAGGATAAAATAATTGATTTACTGTGTTTTATGTAAGAGTCTAAAAGTAATGGTTAAAAACATCAAAGAATTTAATAGATTTTAAGGTCAGAAGGGACAAATAGATCATGTAGTCTAATGTCCTAATGTAGCACAGGCCACATCCATTTACTGCTCTATAGAGCCCTATAACATGTGTGTGATTAAAGCACACCTTCTAGAAAGGCACCTGAGGTTTACCTGATGTCATCAAGAAATGGAGGAAACACCAATTCCCTTGGTAGATTGTCCCACTGATCAACCACTCTCATTCTTAGTAATTCAAATTGTGTTTCTAATCTAACTTCCAACCATTGGTTCTAATTCTGTCTTTGCTAGACCAGAGAGTCCTTTAGTTTCTGGTATTTTTGCCTTTTAAAAACTACTTATGGACTGTAATCTAGTCACCTCATTCTTTATATTTGCTATTTATATGCAAATGAATAGAATTTTCTCCAAAACAAAGATAAAGAAAGTCCCAAGACTAAAGACCTAAAGCTCATTAATAGACACTCAAAAATTCTTCAGAAAGTAAAGGAAGTGAGATCCACAGAAAAACTGGATTACATCCATCCATCAAAAAAAAAAAAATCATGTTGCTTCAAAGATGGATGAAGACTATAAGATGTTGATCTTTCATGGGTGTCGAAGTAGTGATGCAAAAATGGGATTTTCCAAAGCACTTTGCCTCAGTCCCTTGCGGATTGTTGAAAATCCCCTTACTTTACGCACCCATTTTTTAAAATATTGGCCTAAGTGATGAAGCAAAATGCAGGGCTAATCAAAATGGAATGGCATTACTAACTGAGCAAACAGGTAAGTACAATCTTTCATTGTGCTTGGCATTCATGGGGTATGGAAAGAAATTTAGAGCCGAGAAAGAAATTGCCATGAATTTATTGGAAAACCAGGATAGGAAGAGCTATATGAATCTCATGGGCAACAGAATGGTGCCCCTCATGTTTTAACTGGGAACCAGCCAGAGATACGATAGCTATTCAGAACCCACGTAGAGGCAATTTTTAAGTGCTTGGCTATGACAAGAGAAACATCAATTATGAAGAAAGAGTGAAGCAAACAAGCATATGGTCTTATTCCTGATGAAAGCAGTGGTCCATCTAATCAAGCATTCTTTCTCCTGCAGTCATCAGTATTAATGTTTTAAGAGAAGAAAAACTCCACACCCAAAACAATCTATTAACTTGGCTAGTTGAAATGTTATGGCATTAGGGAAAAAAATAATTTTCGTAGGACCAAAATCATGAGACTTAACTTTGGTACCACTATTCTAGACTGTACAGCTGCAAATTACATGAAAGACAATAAGAAGTCCTGTGGCACATTAAAGACTAACAAATTTATTTGGGCATAAGCTTTTGTGGGTAAAAAACATCTTCGTCAGATACAGCTGTATACACATCAACCAACAAAAATATTTCCATTGATAAAAACAGAAATTTACAGATAAGTGAAGTAAGAAAAAATGCTGCTTGAAACTTATTAGTCTGATTTAAGGATATTTACTTTGTATAGTTTAATATCCAACGTTGACATTTTGTGTTATTAATGGTTATAAAGCTTTGACTTTTGAAATACAATGTTTAGACTCATTCAGTAACTACTGTCTCATCTTTGTATCCCCCAATTTCCTGTAAAAATAAAAATTTAAATAATACTTAAAAAAGAAATATTATTAATTAAAATAATAAAAATCGAATTATATAATATAGATAGAATATATATTAATCATTAATACAATTTTTTTCTAGAACAACTTCATTAAGGTCAACAGGTGTCACCAGTATTAAAGGTCTGAGGGCATTTGTGGCTATTTCCAGCAGTCTTACCAGCATGCTGTTTAGCTGGCCATTTCCATTCATTTAGCGTAAGGCTTATAACAGCCATGATGTCTTGAGTAGGGGAATGGAGCAAATAAACTAGAGGCTCTTTTCCATTTAATCTAGTAATAATCCTGATAGTACTAAATGGGTGGAAGTTTGAAACAATCTCCTTCTTCCAGGAAAAAAATCATCACAGTTGAAACTGGGTGAGAAAGTGTTTTTGCATTCCATGAGAAATTCTGAGACTGAAAAAAAATTTCTCCATGAATTGGGACATAGTCAAAAATCTAAAAATAATTTCATGAACTAATCATTAGAAAAAATTCAGATGGCACCAACTGAAAGGTTCAATTTACATAATTTTAAACGTTAATTTTAATTTGACTTTTTAATATTTTAAAGTATATATTAATGACTATTTCTAACCCCATAAAGTCATTTTGAGCCCACAATTTAAACATTTCATTTAAAAATGTTGAAATAGGAAATTGACAATATTAAAACTTATTACAATTTTTTTCAAACCAGGAGATGTTGAAAGCATTCTTTTCCCTAGAAGATTTCCTGTTTTGTGAATTTGCATTTTCTGATTAAAAATATTTTGTCAGAAAATTCCCATCCAACTCTCATTGCAACAATTTTTTGGAAGGTACAGACCAATACTCAATAAAGTAGTTTGATTAAAGACTCATCAAAATTGTCTATCCTACTGTTGTTCTTTAATTTTTGGCTTGTATGAGCATTATTGCTTATGTTGTGTATTGTTAATGATGAATGCCAAAGTAGATGAACGTCATCTATCTTTGTGTTTGAGTTGATGGAAGACAGAAAATGCTGATCTTTGGAATTTACTTTCCTTCAGTTAGAAAAATAGTAAAGGTTGGATTTCCCTGGTCTGGCACCCGACTGGTCCCAAATGAGGGAATTTGCTGACCCAGAGGAGGCCCCCTGCCAGCAGCCTCCCATCTGTCCCTACTGTTGGCTCTGCTTCTGGCCCTGGCCGTACTGCAGCTGGGCTCAGGCATTGGCCATTTCCACCAGGCTCAGGGTCTGTCACCAGTCTGGGCAGGGCTCCATGTCCCCAGAGATCCTACATACTGCTGTCTGGACCCAGCTAGGGCTCCTGGCTGCCAGACTCTGCTCCCCGCCACTAGGGTTCTTTGGTCCAGCAACATCTGTCTCTCATCACGGATATTACCAGACCAGAGATTCCCGGATTTCAGAGTTTCAACCAGCACCACCATATTGCTAGCACTTAAACATTCTTGCAAATTTCAATGCTAATTGGGGGAATACTACCTCACCCCGCAATCTATTTACTTCCACTGATCTATTTTTTATTTGTTTTCATTTGTAGCATGTTCATACACATCAGATCTATCTACAGCAGATACAAATGCCAAAACATATAGTGCTATCTTAATTACCTTAACTTTCTTTGTATCAGAATGAGATACAATAACTATTTAAGGAATCTGAAAGTTCAGAACTCTCCAAATGAGAAACATAAATAGGGGTTCTACGACTATTGTTTCCTTTAATGAATATGCAGCCATCTTATCATCCTTGCCTAAGGTTTTGTACCAATTCTTATAACATCTCATTTGCTACGCAGATAACCCAATATATTTCTTTTATGTGTATCCTTTGACTATCATGCCAAGAGATTAATACCTTCCTTACTATGGGCATGTCTACACAGCAGGGCTAAACTCCAAATAAGTAACGCAACTTTAAGCTACGTTAATTGCATAGCTTAAGTCAAAATAACTTATTTTGACTTTGGGCACATCTACACAGCACTTATTTCGAAATAGAACACTCTTCCCCCAACATGCTTTACTCCTCATACAAGGAGATTTACAGAAGTTGGAGTAAGAAGCCTGTTATTTTGAATTTATTTTGAAATAATAAATTGCTATGTAGATGCTCAATAGGTTATTTTGGAATAACATTCATTATTCAGAAATAATGCTGCTGTGTAGACATACTCTATATGTCCTATACTTTTTGCATCATCAATATTTCATTTGTATTGGCCATATATTGTAATGATTCTAGTAGACAGGAGGTTTTTATGGTTTAGTTATTGTGGAAAGTTTTCTTTGTAAGTTCCCTACAGTTTCTTGTTTAGTTGTAGTTTGTTAGTCTATAACAAAAGTTCTATCTATTTTTAATTGTCAATGTTTTTGTTCTACCTCTTTTTTCTGCTGCAATGATCTCTACTTCTAGGAAACTGATTCTGTGATATAACGAGTGCCTGAAAGTACCAGTGGAGCTCAGAACACTCAGTAGTTTAAGAGTTCAGGCCCTAAATGACTCTTCACACAGAGTGGTTATATTGTGACAAGATGATGGCAAGATTCTCTTACTATCCCTTCAAATTCTACCAGAGTACATGTTTGTGTTAGACACACAGATATAAATATACAGGGAGACAATAGCAGGCTGTACAATATATTTTACAGTGAGGTGCTTACTGTTAAAGAATAGGAGCTTCAATAGAATTGAAAGTCAGAAATGTAGCAGTACATATATGATTTTATGGAGATGTTTTATGCACTATAGTTAGATGAATGGTGAATAAATTATCTTATGACATTGATAATTTAAGTTAAAAATGCTTCTGTCCTTTATCTCTTTGCATCAGACAACATGAAGAACATGTAAGAAACATCAAGTCAAAACCATGAAAATAATTTCTTAGTTAGATCATCTACATATTATAAGAACATAATCTGAAGCTATTTCTCTCTCCACATGGGCAAAATATTGTTTCAATGTATATGGCATAGATGAAATTTTCTATAAAAATAATTGTAATAAAATACAGAATACATTAATTATAATAAACTTGCATCAGTTTTAGCAAAGATTAATTTAATACTTATTTAGACTATCAAAATTATTTAGAATCAGTATTTCCCCCAATTTATAGTGAGGTCTGAAAACTTATGATAGAATAGCTTCTCATGAGTTGAACTGTACCTCTGTGTTGATCTACTTGAAGCTAAAGTGAGCAATATATAGATTGCTAGCTGTTACTTAATTCAACATCCAAAATCCTGATTTTATCTTTTCCACATTAGTGGACTATGCATAGAGTACTTGAAATAACTATTTAGAAAAGAACTGCACTTTAAGCTCTGTAAGCAAGAGTTATATAAAACCCTTCATAACTCCCTGTAAACAGCTTCTTTGTGTTCCCTCAACTGAATGAGCAAACTCTTTATAAGGGACTGAAAAGCTTTTAGTAGATTGTCTCAGAAAGAGATGAGAAAAGCAGAACTCCATAACATTAACATAAGGTACTCCCTGGGGAATTGGCATATTAAAGCATCATGCACGGTATTAAGTCACACTGTCAATATAATCATGTGTCTTCTTTCAGTTAGTGGTCACACTGGCTTCCTTCTGACGTAGTTTTTCTTTCTGTTGTTTAAGAAAAAAAAGAGCTTTATTATCATTCTTTTCTCTAGTTTTCCATCTGTTCTCAAATTGCAACAAGCATGTGGTCTAGAACTGAGTAGCAGCAAATCAGCCATAGTAGAGTGAAGCCTTTTTTTCCTCCAGAAAATTAACTCCTGGAGTGCCATACCATAAATCTCAAACTATGCCGCAGTTTGTCATTTCCTGCAAAGATTTCTTTCAACACACAATACTTAACTACTAGACTCCATAAATGCCTTTCTATGAATTTAACTAGCTCTATATGTCTTTAAGGACTCAGTCATTTAAATACAGACAAAAACAATTCTTCAAAGATCAATGCCGCTGCAGAAAGCTGGAAATGTATCAAAATAGTATATACACAATGTATGCTTTTAATAGCTTCTTCCACTCTGCTTTTAAAGTTGACCCATAAATCTGCATACATGATAATCTTTACTGAAAAGCATGCCCAAAACTTTAACAAGCATTTTTAGAAAACAAATACAGAACATCAGCAGAAAATGGCCCATTTATATATATATATTTAACAAATCTCCATATATGGGAGCTAATCATAGAATCCCAGAATCCTAGAACTGGAAGGGACTTCGAGAGGTCATCGAATCCAGTCTCCTGCCCTCATGGGAGGACCAAGCACGGTCTAGATGATCCCTGACAGGTGTCCACAACCCCCCTAGGCAATTTATTCCAGTGCTCCCTCTCCTGTCTCCCATTTCCAGCCTCTGACAAACAGAGGCTAGGGACACCATTCCTTCCCATCCGGGATAATTGATGGATCTAACTTCCATGGATTTGTTTAGTTCTTTTTTGAACCCTGTTCAAGTCCTGGTCTTCACAACAACCCCTCCACAAGCTGACTGTACACTACCCCTTACTTTGTTTCCTAGATATGGATTGAGCTACCTAACAGTACATCACCCATATTTTAGATTTTTGTCTTTAGTTTTGTTAGTATGCTCATGTTAATAGTTTGGCTTTTCATGTAGAATCAGAGGACTGGATGGCACCCTGAGAGGTCATTCAGTCCAGTGTCCTGCACTGATGGTAGTAGTAAGTATTATATAGGTCAGTGGTCTCCAACCTTTTTACACCCAAGATCACTTTTTAAATGTCAGGGCAAGCCAGGATCTATCCCATCCCTTCCCTGAGTCTCCACCCCTTTCCCGAGGCCCTGTGCTCTCCAAACTTTTCTGCAGACTACCCGTTGCTAATGGAAACTCACCATTAATTACATAATTACACCTGAGCCATGTGGCTAGCAAGTGAGGAGAATGGTTTAATTTAAATTATTAAACATATTAAGCATTTTAACTTTCTTATGTTAGTTGATCAAACTTCATTTTAAATAAAGTAAAACGTTATGTCCAACACAAAAGGTTGGAATGTTTTCTTTATTTATCGCAGAGGTGGGGAACCTTTTTTGGGTTGGGGGCCACTGACCAACAGAAAAATCAGCTGGGGACCATACAAGTGAGAAGCAAAAAAATTCCTCCCCAAACCCGGAACCCACACTGATGTGGCCCCCAACTGAGACACCTCAACCCTCTGGTGCCCCAGCCCCTACAGGGTGAGGGGAAGGGGCAAAGAAGACTGAGGTTCAGGGCTTCCCATAGGCCAGATTTACTTTTCTGGGGTTCCAGAGTTATTGGATTTTGCGGACCCCCCCTTAGGCTCTGGAGTGGGAACAAAAATGAGGAACTCAAGTGCATGGGACAGGACTGCCAGTGAGTGGAATAGTGATGCAGGCTCTGGGTGGGAGATGGGGTGCAGGGTCTGGAGGGAGTTTAGCAGCAGGAGAGAGTGTGGGATTGGGGTACGAGAGGGAGTTTGGGGACAGGAGGAGGTTGGGGCAGTAACGCATTAAAGGGTGAGAATGCAGCCAAATTGCTGGTTGGGGAAGGAGGCAAAGAAGTGGGTAGTGAAGGAAAGTGCAGCTTCTGCAAAGTATCCCCCTAAATCTTCCCTCTGCTCCAGCCTTGCTCCCCTCAGCCCTATGATTCCCCCCAGCAAGATCCCCTGCATCGCCCCCTACCCCGTCCCATCCTGTCTTCGTAGCCTGATCCCCTGCATCACCCCATGCCCCTCAGAACAACCTCTGCCCCCTCCCATCCTGCCCCCACATCCTCCTTCACCGCCCCCCTCCTGGCTCCACATCCCTGTGCCCCCAGCACACTCACTGGCAGGACAGCAGCTCTGGGACATGCAGCATCCGGGAAGCAACGCTGGGACAAGGAGGGGATAGGGACAGAGTCTCTTCCTTGCCTGGTCCAGCCCTTTGCCTGCAGGCAGCAGTACTAGGGCTGTGGCAGGCAGAGCCCAGGGCTGGTGCTGGGGAAGGTGACTCTCAGCCCATGGGGAACAGCACAGCGTAGCCCTGTCCCCAGCGCGCCATGTGTGCCAGCCACCCAGCCCCTTCCCGGAGCAGGAGGCAAGAGCGGGGACGCAGGTGTGTGTTTGCATGTGCACCTTTTCCCCATCCCAGCTGGCAAGTTAACAAAGAGGGACAGCTGCCTGCGTGGCTGCCCCTCTTTGATCCAGCCCAGCTGGAGCGCAGTGCAGCTTTGTGGGCCAACTTTCAGCTTGATGAGGCTGCGCCACACTCCAGGTAATCTGGCTGCGGCGATCGACCCCTAAGGGTGCCACGATCAGTGGGTCAATCAGGATCGACCAGTTGGTGACTATGGATATAGATCATCCCTATCTGTCTAACCTGCTTTTAAAAATACCCAAACGATGGAGTTTCTACAACTCCTAGGCAATTTATTCCAGTGCTTAACAACCCTGACAGTTAGCAAGTTTTCCTAATGCCCTTGCTGCAATTTAAATATTTCTTGTCCTGTCCTCAAAGGTTAGGAACAATATTTTTTCTCCCTCCTCCTTGTAATAATCTTTTATGTACTTGAAAATTATGTCATGTTTTCTAGACCTGTACACTAAAAACTCATGTTTTCTAGACCTGTAAACATTTTTTTTTGTTTTCTTTGGACTTTCTCCAATTTGTCCACATCTTTCCTGAAATGTGGCACCCAGAACTGGACCCAGTACTCCAGTGAAGGCCTAATCATCATAGAGTAGAGTGGAAGAATTACTTCTCACATCTTGCTTCCAACACCTCTGTTAATATATCCCAGAATGAAGTTTGATTTTTGTTTGCAACGGTTTTACACTGTTAACTAATATTTAGCTTGTGATCCACTATGACCCCCCAGGTCCGTATCTTCGCTACTCCTTCGTAAGCAGTCATTTCCCATTTTGTAGGCATGCAACTGACTGTTCCTTCCTAAGTGAAGTACTTTGCATTTCTCCTTTCTGAATGTCGTCCTTTTTACTACAGCCTATACTCCTGATCAGTTTTAGGTTTGGTTTATATTTATGTAACAGCTCAGTTTAAAAGCATAAGTATTGTGGCCACCAAACAGGGTTCTTAGCCATGGTGTGGTTGGCCAATATGATTTAGGCCCACGCATAAGAAGATAATTTTGCTCAAGCCTAAGTGTCTCACAAAAAACACATAATGGGCTCAGTCCCTGCTCAAAGCAACACAGGGTAAATTTGACAAGGTACAGCAAAGAGTAAAGATCATACCCAAGAAGTGGCCAGGAAAGACAAGGTTAAAGGATATGATGTTGGACTGTTAATTTAAAAAAAAATCCTTCCTCACATAACCAGGGGAGATGTCCAAAGAAAGTCTTTAGGAGAGGTTTGAATCAAGACAGGAAGGAGGCTATTTGAACAGTTCTGAATAAGCATTCTAAAGGGTGAAATTCTATAGGGAAAAAAGCACAGAGACTTTTGTGAGAAAAAGAGACAAGAATGGTGGCTCCTATCACACTTTGCCATCCAAAATATGTTAGAGCAAGAGTTGGCCAGAAGCAAATTTAAATAAGGCTTAAGCCCCATTTCTAAACTCAGTTGTTACTCCACTACAAGCAAAGCCTTAAAGATTTTTCCCCTGGACCACTATCAGTTTGCTGCATTCCAACTAATTAAACATGCATTCTACTAATTACATTTCAATGAAAAGCGCAAAGCACAGTCTCATTATATTATGCTGAGGAATATGTCATACCAGACTAGCCATGGGATTAATTTTCTTTGTTTCAACCTTTTTCTCTTCCGTTAACTTGTTTACAAATTGCTGGGCCATTTTCAGCCTGAAACAAAATACAACACAAAGTATACCATGAGATACAAGAAAACAAAACTGGATCTCATCTAGCTGGCATACTTATACATGGATTACACACATAATCTCTGGAATACAAAACAAAGGCAAACAGCAATATCAAGTCTAAACAATGAGTGTTATTAACTAAAATATGTTCAATTGTACCTACCTAAATATTCTAGCAGCAGATATGAGTGAATTCTCAACCAGAGAGGAAAATAAAAAAAGGGAGAGATGTAGGGCCTGATCCTGTTATGCAATGGACATGGGCAAGCCCACATACCCATGTGGAGCCCCACTGAAATCAGTGGAGCTTTGTGTGGGTGGAAGGATCCATCCATATGGGTCTCTTAGCAGCATCCAGGTTTTAGAGAACTCCTTCCCACATCACAGCAGCTGTAACACACAGTTAAGAGGCTATCCCTATACCAAAAACCAAACCCACACTAGCTGGCTGATCATTTGTGTATGTTTTGGTATCTCTAAAAAGGATTTAAAATTAATTAGGTTGTACCAACAATTAAATCTTTCTTCACATATTATTTTTCATAGCTGTCTCAGAAAAAAAATGAAACTGACTTTTTGCCATGATAAATATGAACCTGCTGTAGAATAAAATTAAAATGGCCAGTTAGGTTTGACCTTACTGAACATACACAGAGAAAAGCCTTATACTTTATCAAGCGATCAACCTCACTGAAGCAGAGAAAGGAGTGCAGAAGGCAAGTGAGGAGAGGGTCTTGGCTGGAGCCTGCTGGCCTAATATCAGGCAAAGGTTGCAGGCTAATCTGCTGAGAGCAGCAGAGGGAGAAGGTAAAAGAACATACACAAAGTTTATGAGAAAAGGATTCTGAAGCCCTCTCTCCCCCAGAGAGAGGAATAGAATCCTCTGTTTCCAAAATCTTCTTGAGTCCTTGAATCATCTGTGGTAAGATAGAAGGGGAACAAAGCCATTTAGAAATCAGGGAGAAGAAAAAGAAAACCTAACGATTTAGCAGAAAATAGTTAGGTAGAGGATTATTGACATTAAAAACCTGCTTCAAGAAGTCAAAAAAATGAGAAAAAATTCTTGAGGTTCTCTCTGTAGGTAATTTAGAAACATTGCCAGTATTTTTCAAACCACCATTTGTCTGATACTGGCCATTAAAATGTGTGCTTATAAAATTTGAAATTTTATGTTATCCTATGAAATCAGACAATTTGCTAGATACAACACAGTACTTTTTTTCTATTAACCTATTCTACACCCCAATACAGAGATCGCAGCCTTCCAGCTTTTGATATCACTAAAGCTCCGAGGGTATAGACACTTGGTTTATACTTCAGTCTGGAACATCCAAAGGAAAAGGAAAATGTATGTACATTTTGATTACAAAAAGACAACCCAATTTCCACTGCTGGGCATCAAAACCGTTTTTTTTCTTATAAATTTTATAGTTCTTGGCCCAATTTCCACTGCTGGGCATCAAAACAGTTTTTTTTCCTTATAAACTGTATAGTTCTTGTCATTGTCAAACTGACAAATGTAACCTTCTCCTTTTACTTCATTTTTTTTTTCTGTTTCTCTGCCCAGCCAATAAAGAATTTAAAATACCAAGTCCAGTTCAAACTGCCTTTGACAAACTACACTGTGGAAGAATTTTCCATGTAAAGCAACAGGGAACATGGATTAGTTCTGCAGTTACTGACATGTAATTCCTTCTCTCCTGTAATGCTGTGTAGGGCACTGTTCCAGCAGCAACTTGAATTCTTGACATTTTATTAAAATATATTCATAAACATGTTGCACTGTTCATCAGGGCCCAATACATTTTTTAGAACCTAACACTTCTTGTTTGAACAATGCATTTCAGAAGCTTCTGCAGGATAATTATTAGAGTTTGAAATCTCTGAATTTCCTTGCAAATGGCCAAGAACATGAGGGAAAAGTGAAATTCCTTTTAAGAAGCCTTACTTCCAACATTGCCTATGTTCTATGTTGAGAAAAGCTATAGAAACACCTTAAGTTAGGTTGGTATGATGAGATTTAGTTTATACAATATCAAGTTTTTCCAGTTTAAGTTATACCTCCATAGGTTATAAGTGAAAATATTATGCTCAAAGTGACACTCACTTTGAGTGTTTTTAACAGCAATTACTATGTTTAGATTCAGTAGCACCAAGCTGGGATATTCAGGATTCTAAGAACATCTTCATTTTAGACCACCTTTTGTAGTAAGTCCTAAGTTTCTCTCCCTCCCTGTAGTTATGGTAGTTGTACTGTTCCAATGGGCTTTTTCTAAATAGCTACAAAATAAACTGAGCCAGCATCTTAACTACAGAGTTGTAAATGATAAACTCAAAAATAGTTTATAGGCAACACAAAATAAACTGAGCCAGCATCTTAACCACAAAGTTGTAAATGATAAACTCAAAAATCATGAATAGGCAAGGTCATCTTCAGAGTTACAAACCCCCTGGTTATGAACTGAACTGATCTGTCAACCATACATCTCATTTAGAACCAGAAATACAGAGTCAAACTGCAGCAGAGACATTAAATGTACTAGTTTAAATGTAAACTACTAATTAAAAGGAAAAAATTAAAAAAATCTGACAAGGTAAGGAAACTTTCAGTGCTTGTTTCATTTAAATTAAGATTAAAAGCAACATTTTTCTTCTGCATAGTAAACTTTCAAAGCTGTATTATGTCAATGTTGAGTTATAAGCTTTTAAAAGATACGCCATAATGTTTTGTTCAGAATTATGAAAGTTTCAGAGTTATGAACAATCTCTATTCCTGAGCTATTTGTAACTGTGAGCATCTACTCTACCTGTTAATGATTACCTGTCAGATATTTGTGCAGAATTGAAAAGTTTTTCTAATCAAAATAGAATTATATATTGCTTATCATATCATGTTTATGAAACAGAGGGCTTGTCCATACATTGCAGTGATGTGCAAAATAGGTCCATGATTTTAAATAATCACACACACAATACATGATGATAAGCACAAGCCATATTTTTTACTAGGCAAGCTTAATGAGGCTTATTGCTGCATGGATGTTATGAATACAATATGCACTACTTCCCTTTCTCTGTTATATTGTGTTCATTTTCTGCCTTTTTCAATTGGTTTATACAGAAATGTTTGCACTTGTATAATGAGTGTAATGATCATGAAATAGTATCTTGAAACTCTTTCTGGATAAAATGCTACAAATAAGAAGCAAATTAAGTACATGGCTGTGTGATTTGACTTAGAGATTATTATGATACGCAAAAATAAAACCACAGATAAAGTTCATTTGCTTAGACAGGAATAAACTCTTAATTATTATCCACATTGTGTTTATGGGAGATACTACGTAAATAACAGATATGCAGTGATATCACACCACGTACTATTATTTTTAATCACCTTAAAATAAACTATTTAATGTGTTATAAAGCAAGTCCTTTTAGAAGTTCTATGAAGTTTATGAGAATTTATATAGACTTAACCTGCTGTACTACTTCCCATAAAAGTATAAACTTCCTTGATTTTTAAAAACTATTTGTCAATTACTTGTTCTCAGTTTATAATAAAACTAAAGGTTGGCAACAGAATGCCAAACAGGAAGTTAAATAAATTCCACCAAATATCCCTTTGTACTTTTCTGAGAGTATCTGCAGTTCTATCAAGTGTTAATGAAGATAATCAGTTTAATATTGTGTATTTTACAAAAATCAGGTAAAAGGAAAATTTATTTCTGAGAGTAGGAGAGATACTTATAACCCAGTAAAATAGCCGATGAGGACTTCTAGAAAACATTACTAATATGGCTTGACAAGGCTAACAAGTTTCAGCCTGCTTCAGAGTAACTGGAGAATAAATAGATGGTGAGGATTATCAAACAAACAAACAAACAAAAATGAATTAGTGCCCACTTTGTCTCTTTATTTGAGCTTATTTGTTAGTCAAGTGTTAGATGAGTCACCAGTTTGGGGATGGAGGAGCATCTGACAGCCAAAGATCTCTCTAGGCAGTAGGACAAGTAGGAATGAACTTGAATAATCAGCTGATATGTTAACGGGGATTGAACAGTTCATAGATTTATAGAAAAAAGCTCACAATGCAAAGATTTGAGTCTGTCATCAGGACCTCAAAGAGGAGACTCATTCTGCTCTTACTAGAGTAATTGGGAGCATAATCCACTGCAGGAGTAGCATTTCACAACTTGCATACAGAGGAGCACCCCCACCTCAGAATATCATAATGTGGGTGGAGAACACTTCAAGAACTAGTTCCACCAAATGCTCTCTGCAAATGGACTATGTCTCTTGGTGAAGTGGAGGGTGACTTCTTCAAAGCAAACCACCTTCCTTCCCAGCCATGGATGGGGCACCTAAGGTAGTTGGCTGGAAGCAGTTCACATGAACAGCAGCAGCCCATCTGGAAGGGTTTGGATACTATGATAACGGTGGACAATGTTGGTACTCTGACAGGGGAGATAAGGCTACAGGTTTAGGAAGCAGCCCAAAGATTCTTTTCTTTGGCCCTGTCTGCCATGAGTGCCAGTAATGGATACACCCTGACCCTACCAGCCTTCTGATGAGCGTGGAATGGAAATGTAACTAGAACTAAGGGAATAAAAGCAGGAGGAATCAGGGAAATAGAGGAGTCAGCAGAAAACATACAAAAAAAAGATTAAGGAAGAGAGGAAGGATAAACTTCAAGTAGAAAAGGAAAATATGATATGGGAAAAACAAAAATGTGACACAAAGGAGAACTTCAAGTAGAAAAGGAAAATATGATACGGGAAAAACAAAAATGTGACAAGTGAGCGAAAACTGACAGAGAAAAGAAAACAGAGCGGCACCTGTCTCTTACCCCGGTGTGATGCAATGTGAGGGTGTTGATCTGCCAATCCATCCCAAGCAGAAATCCACAATGAAAAAAAGAGAGGTTTGACTACCATTCAAGGTCAGCACTGTACATTTTTGTAAAATTGGGCGTTCCTT